TTTGTCTGGGCTGAGATTGGCAGGCAAGTCATTTCAATTCCCTCCTGGCAGAGTTGAATCCTATTGCCAAAACTCTCTCCCACCACCCTCCCCCACATCATGCCCCTTGAGTTATCCAGAGTCTCCTCATCCACATGGCTAGAGCTTTAGCTGGACAGGCCCTGGTGGAAGACCATGTTTGCTCTTCCCTCCTGCGAGTTGAGGGTGGAGAGCTGGGAAAATGGCTCAAATGTGCAGCTTTTTCGGCAACTTCACCAGTCGTGAGACCCGTCCCTAACATTGCTGGACACACTGGGCACTATCACTACTATGCAGCACTCATATTGGCTTATTTCCCCCCAAGAGGGAGAAGACAGACAGAGGAGATGAATTTCACCCTCTCCTGAGTTTTGCCCATGTAACCCAGATTTCCTATTTCCAATTCTTCCCTCCCCCATTATCTTAAACCTACTGCAACCAGCCTCTGCCCCACACTCCACTGTAACTGCTCTTACACCAATGCTGCTAAATCCAACAATCAATTCTTATTCCTCATATTTCTTAACATATTCAGCAGAATTTGATGTAGTTAGCTCTCCCTCCTCCCTGATATCATTGCTTTACTTGCCTTCCAAACACTCCATTCTCTTGGTTTTCACCCTACTTTACTGGTTTCTCCTCTTTTATTTTGCTGGTTCCTCCTCTTCTCCCAGATCTTTTAAGGTCCTTGCTCTCTTTTCTTATACCATCAAAATCTAATGACTTTCAAACTTATATCTCCAGTCCAGATCTCTCTCACAAACTCTAGACTCACATATGCTACTGCCTAGTTGACATCTCTACTAGGATATCTGATAGATGTCTCAATTCAACATTCCCAGAACTCAACTCCTTATTTTCCTCTTAAAACCTGCTCCTCTCGTGGCCTTCTACATCTCAGTAAACGGCAACTCTTTCCTTCTAGTTGCTCAAGCTAAAATCCTTGGATTGCTTAGACCAGGTCGTAGCAGTGGAGGTGATGAGAAGTTATATTCTGCATATCTCATGTGGGGTCTCCAGTCCCAGATATTCTGGGTGTGGAGGAAATCAGCCTGTTGGCAGCCAGGGTCCAGGGAGCTGGAGAGGGTCCAGCTGAAGGCCGATGTTGTAAAGCACCCAGGATCTGGGTATTTGGGTAGAGCCAACATTTATGAGAGAAAGAAGGGAATCAAGGATGACTCCAAGATTTTTAGCCTTGTAACTGGTCTGCTTCTGCCCTTACTCCTCTACAATCAGTTTTCAACATAAGAGCCAAAGAGATTATTTTAGAATGTAAGATCATGCCACTCCTGCTCAAACCCTGCCGTGACTCCCCACATCACTAGAGTAAAAGCCAAAGTCTTACAGTAGCTGACAAGGACCCACAGGATCTGCCACTCCCACCCTATTTACTCCTCTGACTTCACCTTCCACTTACTCCCCTCCTGATGGCTCCTCTAACAAGCCAGTCAGCTTCTTGTTTCAAGACCATTAAACATTTTGTTTCCTCTGCCTGGAGCACTTTCACTGTCAGTTTCTACATGGCCAACATCCTCACTCGCCGCCAGCCTTTGTTCAAATGTTCTCAATGTGACCACCCCACTCCTACTCCTGATCCCCTTTACCCAGCTCTATTCAGTCTTCTTCCATAGCACTCATTAACTTCTGATATACTATATAATTTTCTTATTTACTATGTTTATTGTTTATTGTCTGTCTCCCTTCTCTAGAATGTAAGGCCCAAAAGGACAGGGAATTGGTCTGTTTTGTTTATAGGTGTATCCCAGCTGCTTACAATAATTCCTGGCACACGGTAGGCCCTCAGTATGTAATAGATGTTGAATGACGCAGTCAGGATCAAGGTTTGGTTGGCCATGTGCTGGGGCAACTGACTGAGACTGGAGACTCTAGAAAGCCATCAGGATGAGGCAGGTGCTTGTGGTGGACTGGCCACAGGTCCTAGACAGCAGGGAGGGTATTTACCCAGGGGATGATTGAGGTGGCATCCCTCCCATCCATCTCCCTAAAAAGCCTACTGGTTGCTTCTGATTTTAGATTGGCTTCTTTACACCACTTTCTCACTTTCTCTGGTTTTCAACTACAGTGTTTAACTGTTTGCCAGTTTTTCCATCATATTCTTGCCTCAGCCCTTTCCCTGCTCTGAAACTCACTTTAAATTAGATCTTACAAACATAAAAGCTGGAAGGAACTAAAGAAGACATCACTTATGATTTTAGTTTGAAACCAAAATTATGCTTTGGGGACTTTTTCATCCCTGACCTTGCCACTGAACAAATATTAATAATAATAAAGTCCCCAACTTACCCCACCCTCCCGCCCCGCCCCAAGCACAAAAGTGGCTATTTGAAGCTATGAAGTTAGAGAAAGGGCCCAGAAGCAGGCTGATAGCATATATTACCTGAGCATGTAACATGCCAAAGTAGCCCAGCATCCTTCTCCAGAACTTGCTCAGAATATTCCTCTCATCCCCCAGGAGTCCAAGCCCCAATCTGAGAGCCACGGGCTTAAATAAAATCACTAGCCGGGGAGGAAAGGGATCAAACCAATTAAATGGTCTCCATTCTCCTCACCCTCCTTTCCCACATCAGCAGCAAATGGTCCTATCATAGAGAGGCTTCAGTCTATTCTTTGACAAAGAGACAGGAGATGACAAGATGAAGTGTTAGGGCCCATTCTCTGTAGGAACTTGTTTTCCTTGGGAGGTGAGGGGAGTTAAATGTCGACAGAAGGGTTAAACCGCTGGCAACACCAAAAAACAGCAAAATAGGCACGTCTAGGTTTTTCTGATGACCATATCTTTGGTTAGTCCCCCTTACCTTGGCAAAGGAGCCTTTCCATTAATTCACCAGGCGGCCCTGGATGACTCATGCCCTTCAGAGCAAAACTGGACATTAGCCTCCAGCTCCAAAGCCCCTCAGAAACACTTCCCTCCAGCTGCTGTTGTCCATCAAGGAAAAGAGAAGAGAAGTCCTAAGGCCCTGTGCTTGATCAAGGGAAGCAATTATGGGTGGTGGTGTAAGGATTAAATAAAGAGAACTTGACAGGAACCAGGACCCTTAAAAATGTCTCCACTATCAACTGGGATCAGCAATGCTGGAAGGCAGGCTCTATCCATGGAGGAAGAAGCCAAGCACCCACCCTCCTGCCTCCACCTTCCCCCACAAGCACCCATGGGAAAAAGCAAGGGTCATAGATACTCTTTTCTTCCTAGGCCGGCACTTCCACCCAAGACATAGTCACACGTTCCCATGGCTGCACAAACTTACCACAGAGCCCTGAGGCAGAGCTCAGCCCCAAACACTGCCAGACAGGCTCACCTCAGCAGGGTGAGCCCCACGTCCCTCCCTCCTGCTCCTGTCACTGCTCCCTTTACTGCCCCCTCTTCAGCCCAGTGGATTTGCACTAGACCTGGAAATCACTCTCTCCCACCTCTTCGTGCCATTCCTGCTAATTCCCAGGCCAACCTTTACCCAATTCCAGAAAGGCTTGGGGAAAGTGGCTCACCTCTTAATCTTTCTGCCACGTGAGAAGCTAAGCTGGTTACCAGGTTCCAGATCCAGAGCCCCAATGCCCAGCTTAGCCCCAGACTCCTGCTCCTCCCTGGACCAGCCCCATCCCTTCACCCAGTTCTCTGAAGGGAGAAAGCTCAGGCCTAGATTCCTAAACAAGCATGTGGAGTGTCCAAGGCTAGGTCAGAAGTGGGAAGACCTCCCTCTTTCCCTCACAAAGCAGACTGAACAAAGTCCTGTGATTTCAGGCTGCTGGCCAGAAATTCCTAGGGAGAAAGGACGTATCAGCCCATTCCCAACCCTCTGGAAAAATATAAATTAGCTTCCAACCCCAGGGCTAATCCTCAATTGCCACAATACAGAGAATAAGACTCTATGGGCTCAGAGCATGTCTCTACGCTCTCCCCAAGTCCTCCCACCTCTGCTCTGCGTTATATGCTTGCTCTCTCCAAAACCATTGTGAGACTGAGCTTGATGTATTTGGAGGCTCCTACTCCCCTGCAAAAGGATAAGGGCTGCACTAGGGCACCCTCCAATCCTTGTGGCCCATGAAATTACCACTCCTCTCAGAATTTTCCCCCATGATCTACCTCTGCAATCCCCTTTCTTCCAGCCCAGATGGCAGCCTCACTTCAAAACCACACCTGGGAGCCCCAACCCCTATCAGCTTTACCCATCAACAAGGAGATCTTCCTTACTCACTGCTCAGCTAAAACACTTTCAGATCTGGGGCTTCCCACAGAGATCTGGGATTCCTTGAAAGTGAGTTAGTGGTAGGAAAATTATCACCACTGCTGTGGGGGTAGCAGAGTTACCCCAGGGGCCTGGAATGGAGGGGATAAGAAGCCAGTAAAGACTTAGAGTCAATGCTCCACACACACATTTTCAGTGGGAAATTTTTAAAGGAAGAGCCACTAGTATCAAAGGTTAAGACACTGGTGGGGATTGGGTAATGAATGGCTTAGGGAATGTCATGGTGCCAGCAGAGGAGGAGGAAGATACAAAGCCACGGCTAAGGAGTCTCAAGACGACAGGACAGTTTGTTATCACCATCATCTTCAACATAGCTACCATTTAAGCACTTTATACACACTATCTCTAATCCTCACAACAAACTTGAAAGGCGGGTATTCCAACTCAATTTACAGGAGCAGCAATTGAGGCTCTGAGGGCTTAAGTAACTTGCCCAACATTATACAGAGAGTAAGTAGCCAAGCCACAATTCAAACTTTGATCCATCTGGTTCCAAGCCTATCTTCATGTTTCTATGATGCCACCCTATAATAGAAAAACCCCTGGGAAAGTCATGTGATCTGTCTAGGTCTCAGTCTGATCCAGTGTCCTTAAAGACTTCTAAGGGCCTTTCCAACTCCAGCATTCTATATGCCTATGGGACTCTTTGGAGGGGCAGAAGGTGAGGAGATGGAGATATCCTCCTTCCAGGGGTGGGTGGAGTGGCACAGTGGCTCTCACCTCCCCCATTTTTGTAGCAGAGATAGGGAAACCTCCAGACGTTGCCTAGGCCAATGATCTCCCCAGCCACTGCCAGCATAAACTCCGTCTTGTTGTTCCACTGCCCCCGTTCCAGGTTGCCATCTTCCTCCGCCTTTTCCACGACCGGGTATACTGGTTTTGTCTCTCCATTACTGGTTGTGACACTGCTATCCATCCCACCTGGAAAACAAGCAGGGCACTCTGTTACTGCTGGGAACCCGAGAAGGAGAGCCTTCCCCCTTTCTTCAACAGCAAATTCCCAAGGGAATAAAGGCACTGGAAAAGAGTCACTTTCTACTCCCTTGTCTATAGACCCATGTCCTCCTTAATGTCTTTTATTGGTAAAGGCTGTGTCACAGCTGCTGAGAATAAATATTCCTTTCCTTTTTCAGGAAGAAAGCACAGACACGGACACACAGACATGGCTTCCACCACGCAGGTTCTCTCAGGTTGGGGCTGTGCACATGGGAGAATTCACACAGCCCTGGGGTCGTCTAAGTCCTCCCTGTGTCCCACAACTATCCTTGTCTGCATTCACACGTGCTTCAGCCTCTCTATTCTGTATGCTGGGGACAGTTGAAAGAGTGAGATTTTTATACATCCTCAAAGCCACCAATTTTCCTTGCAGGAATTTACTCTAAGGAAATAAGTGTGACTGTAGGTAAAGATTTGGCATTGAGGATGTTCATTGTTTATAACAGCAAAAAATTAGAAAGTACATAAATGTTCAAAAATGGTAAAGAGGTTAATAAACTTGGCACATACAAATACTATAAATCATTAAAAATTGTGTTGCAGAAGAAAGTGTAATGAAATGAAAAGGTGTTCACAATATGTGAAGTGAAAATAGTTATAAAATAGCACATACAATATGATTATGCTTGAAAAATATTTCATAAAGTATTTGCATGCATTGAAAGATTAGGATATCCACCAAAATACTTCTCTCAGTAGTTGGATTATAGGAATATTTTCCTTATCTATATTTCCTACATTTTCATCAAATAAAACAAATGTCTTATTTTGTAATATGAAAATAAAAGCCAGTTTTTAAAAAAATCCTTCCAAAGGAATGAGAGAAGTTGAGTGGGACCAGGATCCCTGAATAAGATGAGATGATCTTCCAGCTACTCCCTCCATCTCTCTCTGAAATCAACATAAGAAAAAGATGAAGTATGGGCTCTTTTTCTTTTTTGGTGGTGACAAATGTAGGAATCCGTTACAGTAGAAAAGACAACATAAAATGAATAAAGAGCCACAGTTCTAAACCCTTCACTGCCCTATCCTAGACTCGGATTGAGATTAAGGATAAGATTGGATGTGGCTCACATTTAGTGAGCAACTACTACATTCTAAAGACTTGACATACATTTATTTCATTTAATCCATGCAACCACCTTGAGATATAAGCCGTATTACCTCTGCCTTGTAAATAAGAAAGCTGCAGCTCAGAAAGGTTAAGGGACATGTCTGCTGCCATATAGCTAGTAAATTGCACAGCCAGGACTTGAATCCCCTCTATCCCTGCACTTTCAACTACATCCCTTGATTCCCTTGGCTACCTAGGTTTATCAGCATGCCTAATATAAACATCTTCTAATGACTCCTCCCTGATTTTATACAGTAGCCCCTTTTCTGGAGAAGTGGGTAAATGACTTTTTTCTATACCTCAAGAAAAGTTCATGTTCACAGAACTTTCTCAGAGGGAGCCCCATCTGGCCAGAGGCTCTCTTGTGGCTCTGCCTCCCCAGTTTAGCTACCCGAGGGATCTAGAAGTCAGAGAGAAAGTCAGAGAACAGTAGGCACCTACGCTGATTTGATAAATTAGGGAACGGGCTCCAAAGATTATTTGTGGGCTAAGAAGGAGAAACCCAAGCAGCTGGTCCCAAGAAGCTTCCTTGTCCTTTTGAGAAGGTTGTCTAATGTCTTGCGCTGGTTCTGGGCCTCCCTTTACCGTCTGACGGATGTCTTCCGATGATAGCATGCCATTTCCCTTCACTTCTTCATCCTCTCAGACCCTAGTAGAAACAGTAGCCCTATCCTGGGTCCCTTAGCCTCATTAGGTACCGTTTCTCAGAGGTGGCATCGTGCAGTTGAAAGGACTTGAGCTATAGAGTCAGACAAGCCTGGGTTCAAACCTTAGCTTTGTGCCACACCACTGCCTGACTTCAGTGAAGTTAATTACTCTGAGCCTTAGTTTGCTCATCCGTAAAAGTGAGAATGATAGGATATACTTAGCTATCCTATCTTATACATATTTAGATACCTAGAGATAGATACTACTTATTACAATATACTTATTACATATACTTAGATATTATATATCAAATCAGGTTATATATATATAGACATGAAAGCACTTGGTAAAATAACAGGCACTCATATTTTTATTTCTTTTAATCCTGTCAAAATTTTTATGTTCTTTCAGTCTCAATATTGTCTCATTTCACAGAGAAGAAAATCTTCATTTTCTTAGCATTAAACCCAGATGACAGGGCTGGCCGGCCCAGTGGCGAAGTGGTTAAGTTCATGTGCTCGGCTCCAGCAGCCCAGGTTTGCTGGTTCGGATCCTGGGCACAGACCTATGCACCGCTCATCAAGCCACGCTGAGGCGGCGTCCCACATAGAGCAACTAAAAGGATGTACAACTAAGACATACAATTATCTACTGGGGCTATGGGGAGAAAAAAGGAAAAAAGGAGGAAGATTGGCAACTGATGTTAGCTCAGGGCCAATCTTCCTCAAAAAAAAAAAAAATGTCTTTCCTCTCTACCTAGGGTTCTCCTTCTCCAAATCATTGTCCCTTAAGTCAACAGCCACCGAAGTTTCAGAAAGTCAAGAAAATAGCATATAGTCTTTGCATACGCACACATAAATGTCAGAAACATTTTCTAGGAGAGGATCAAAAAATCCTTTGGTTGTAAGTCCTATGGATCCCACCAACCTGTAGTCTGAGTCTCAGAAACAGAAAAAGAAGAGAAGAAAATGTTACCAACCTTACAGCAGTTGCTGCCAGAGGTCCAGTCAGGGGGAAGAAGAATTATCTAAGGGGGAAGGGGAAGGTGCTGGCTATTTAAAGTGTGTTCCAACTCCTCTGCTGCATTTGTAATTCTAAACTTGGTCCAGCCCACATTCCGCCCTCCTGCCTTCCCTCTCCCCAGTTCTCCCCTCCCCTCGGGCACCAGACAACTCACACGAGTGATTTCACAGCCCGGGGAGTGTGTGCACACCCTGGCAGGTCAGGCCAGTTGCTTGTGGGCTTATCGGCAGCACACTCTCCTCCCTGTAACTCACGGGCTCTTCCCTCTTGGTGACCTCAGGGTCTCTCTAGAGGGATCCTGCCTTCCACCCCTTTCTCCAACTCAGGTGCTCCTATACATCCATCAAGAATAGGTGTTTCTTTGGTCAGATGCTGTGTAGATTAATTTAAAATACATTTATCTTACCCTTTTGCAGCTTACAATTTGGAATGGACAATGATTTAGAATAAAGATACACAGATTACAGAACTCTGAGAAGTCAGAAAACTTCCTAAACACACACACACATTTATATACACATAGAAAAGTCTGAAAAAATATTCACTAAACGGTTAACAGTAGTTACATTAGGAGAGCAGGGTTGGTGCCAAGAGATGAAGTAGAGAGACATATTTTCACTTCTATTTTTAAGGTTCAGTATTGTTTGAATTTTTAAATAATGTGCTAGAGTTGATTTTTTTAAAATAATTTTTTAAATCAATAAGAAAACTAAGTGGCAAGGTTTAAAAGAAAGCAACGCCCTAAATCTGTCATAAGTGAAGGAGTTGGCTGCAGAGAGGAGGCAGAGATAGTCATTGGAGCTTTGTTTTGAGGCAGGAACAGCCCAGGGAGGCAGCTGTGGTGAGTAGAGGATCATTCATTCAGCTCGGAGTGGGGTCGGAGGACCAGGGGCAGGGACCCCAGCTCAGCCACGTGCTGAATGAAGTGCAGTGCTGTGCAGTGCAAAGCTGCTGAGGCTTTGCAGCCAGATGGTCCAGGGTCCGAGTCCTGCTTCTATCACTTTCCAGCTTGTGTCCTTCAGCAAGTATTCAACTTCTGAAAGTCTTGTTTTCTCGTCTATAAAAAGGGGAGATATTCCTTACCTTGCAAGGTTGTGTGAGGTTTCAGGAGCTAATGTGTATATGTAAAGGGCTAATACCTAGCAAGCTCTCAAACAGTAGCTCTTATTTATCCTTAAGGAATTATTCACAGTGAGCAGGGAGGTTTTCTTGAAGGGGATGGGATTGAGAGACCCCTGAGCAAAACTGGGCTCCGGCCGAGACAGTAAGAATGACTCAAGGGGTGGGGGGTGGGCTGCTGAATGAGATAACAAAAATGTGCTTGAAAGGACCAAAAGGAGTGGAAAGGAGGGTAAATCAGAGATTCTAAGGAAGTTTCTATTTCGCTCATCCCTCATCAGCCCCTAGGGCGTTGAAGCAGGGGCGGGGAAACACCTCGTGATAACACCTAGGAGCCTGGTGGACATGATTCTTCTTACTTTTCAGAGGCCCGTCTTCCTCTCCCCTTCCAACCATCCATCCGTCTGATTTAACTACGTAAAGCAACAGACCGCGGCGTGACGTCAGCATCATGGCGGAGTGAGTTGTTCTCTTTTTCTCTCCCCTCTAAGTGACAACTAAAGGGACATCCATTAACCACCAGAGGATTCCCTATAGAGCACAACAGGATGCCTGAGAGAGCCATGCAGCTATGCAGCTGAAGGTGGGTGGAGCGGGCCCCAGGGAAGCAGTGGAACTAGGAGAGCGGCTCCCCACCCCCGGCAGCGATCGGGATCCTGACACCGTCGCCAGCGCGACAGGGAGCGGAGGCGGGGGCAGCCTGGCGGCCCGCGAACGCGTGCGGAGCGGCGGGAGCCCCGCCCCGAGCGCCTACCGTGTGGCGGCCCCGCCCGCGCGACTGCTCCCGGCCAGGTGGCCGCGGGCTCAGCCTGCGGTAAGGCGCCCCCGCCTGCCAAACGCAGTGGCCGGCCTCTTCCAGGGGCTACCGGCACAACTGCAGCAGACAGGGCAGGAACAGAAAACACAGACAGCCCACCCCCACCCCCGCCCGCAATGGTGGTGGCAGGTGGAATCTGCAACTAGAAGCAACAGAAACCACAGAAGGTGACCCAGCCCTGGACACCAGCTCCACCAGCTTCAAGAGCTGTATACAAGACCTGGGGTCCCCAGCACCACCACCACCACCACCACCACCACCACCCCCACCCCACCCCCGTCACAGTGACACCCATGAACCCAGCACCCCTGGCAGCAGTGCAACCAGCGCCCCAAGACAACCCGGGAACCCAAGAATCTGAATAGACCAATCACAAGTAAAGAGATTGAAACAGTAATCAAAAACCTCCCAGAAAACAAAAGTCCAGGACCAGATGGTTTCTCTGGTGAATCCTCCCAAACATTCAAAGAAGATTTAACGCCTATTCTTCTCAAACTCTTCCAAAATATTGAAGATGGGAGGCTTCCTAACTCATTCTTTGAGGCCAACATCACCCTGACACCAAAACCAGACAAGGACAACACAAAAAAGGAAAATTACAGGCCAATATCACTGATGAACGTAGATGCAAAAATCCTCAACAAAATATTAGCAAATTGACTACAGCAATACATTAAAAGAACCATACACCAGAATCAAGTGGGATTTATTCCAGGGATGGCTCAACATCCGCAAATCAATCAATGTGATACACCACATTAACAAAATGAGGAATAAAAATCACATGATCATCTCAATAGATGCAGACAAAGCATTTGACAAGATCCAATATCTATTTATGATAAAAACTCTCAATAAAATGGGTATGGAAAGAAAGTATCTCAATATAATAAAGGCATATATGACAAACCCACAGCCAACATCATACTTAACAGTGAAAAACTGAAAGCCATTCCTCTGAGGACAGGAACAAGACAAGGGTGCTCACTCTCACCACTCCTATTCAACATAGTACTGGAAGTTTTGGCCAGAGAAATTAGGCAAGAAAAAGAAATAAAAGGGATCCAAATTGGAAAGAAAGAAGTAAAACTCTCACTTTTTGCAGATGACATGATTCTATATAGAAAACCCTAAAGAATCCACCACAAAACTGTTAGAAATAATCAACAACTACAGCAAAGTTGCAGGGTACAAAATCAACATACAAAAATTAATTGCATTTCTATGCACTAATAACGAACTAGTGGAAAGAGAAGTCAAGAATACAATCCCATTTACAATCACAACAAAAAGAATAAAATATCTAGGAATAAATTTAACCAAGGAGGTGAAAGACTTATACAATGAAAACGGTAAGATATTATTGAAAGAAATTGATGATGACATAAAGAAATGGAATGATATTCCATGCACATGGATTGGAAGAATAAACATAGTTAAAATGTCCATACTACCTAAAGCAATCTACAGATTCAGTGCAATCCCAATTAGAATCCCAATGACATTCCTCGCAGAAATAGAAAAAAGAATCCTAAAATTTCTATGGAACAACAAAAGACCCTGAATAGCCAAAGCAATCCTGAGAAAAAAGAACAAAGCTGGAGGTATCACAATCCCTGACTTTAAAATATACTACAAAGCAATAGTAATCAAAACTGCATGGTACTGGCAGAAAAACAGACACACAGATCAACGGAACAGAATTGAAAGCCCAAAAATAAAACCACACATCTATGGGCAGCTAATCTTTGACAAAAGAGCCAAGAACATACAATGGAGAAAGGAAAGTCTCTTCAATAAAGGTGTTGGGGAAACTGGACAGCCACATGCAAAAGAATGAAAGTAGACCATTATCTTACACCGTACACAAAAGTTAACTCAAAGTGGATTAAAGACTTGAATGTAAGACCTGAAACCATGAAACTCCTAGAAGAAAATATAGGCAGTACACTCTTTGACATTGGTCTTAGCAGTAGCTTTTCAAATACCATGTCTATTCTAGCAAGGGAAACAAAAGAAAAATAAACAAATGAGACTACATCTGACTAAAAAGCTTCTGCAAGGCAAAGGAAACCATGAACAAAACAAAAAGACAACCCACCAGTTGGGAGAAAATATTTGCAAATCATATATTCAACAAGGGGTTAATTTCCAAAATATATAAAGAACTCATACAACTCAACAACAACAACAAAACAACCCAATCAAAAAATGGGCAGACCAGGGCCGGCCCCATGGCTTAGCAGTGAAGTGCACGCGCTCCGCTACTGGCGGCCCGGGTTCGGATCCCGGGCGCGTACCGATGCACTGCTTCTCCGGCCATACTGAGGCCGCGTCCCACATACAGCAACTAGAAGGATGTGCAACTATGACATACAACTATCTACTGGGGCTTTGGGGAGAGGAAAAAAAAAAAAGGAGGAGGATTGGCAATAGATGTTAGCTCAGAGCCAGTCTTTTTCAGCAAAAAGAGGAGGATTAGCACGAGTGTTAGCTCAGGGCTGATCTTCCTCAAAAAAAAAAAAAAAAAAGGGAAAACCAGGGCCAATCTTCCTCAGAAAAAAGAGGAGGATTGGCAACAGATGTTAGTTCAGGGCTAATCTTCCTCAAACACACACAAAAAAATGGACAGAGGATATGAACAGATATTTTTACAAAGACGATATACAGATGGCCAACAGGCACATGAAAAGATGTTCAATGTCACTAATTATTAGGGAAATGCAAATCAAAACTACAATGAGATTTCACCTTACAGCCTTCAGAATGGCTATAATTAACAAGACAAGAAATAACAAATGTTGGATAGGATGTGGAGAAAAGAGAACCCTCATACACTGCTGGTGGGAATGCAAACTGGTGCAGCCATTATGGAAAACAGTATGGAGATTTCTCAGAAAATTGAAAATAGAAATAACATGTGATCCAGCTTTCCCACTACTGGGTATTTATCCAAAGAACATGAAATCAACAATTCAAAGAGATTTATGCACCCCTATGTTCATCACAGCATTATTCACAATAGTCAAGACATGGAAGCAACACAAGTGCCCATCAACAGAAAAATGGATAAAGAAGACATGGTATATATATACAATGGAATACTACTCAGCCATAAAGAAAGACAAAATCATTCCACTTGTGACAACATGGATGGACCTTGAGGGTATTATGCTAAGAGAAATAAGCCAGACAGAGAAAGACAAATACCACGTGATTTCACTTATATGTGGAAGATAAACACATGGATAAGGAGAACAGATTAGTGGTTACCAGAAGGGAAGCAGATGGGAGGAGGGCAAAAAGGGTAAAAGGGCACATATGTATGGTGATGGATAAAAGCTAGACTATTGGTGGGGCCAGCTCTGTGGTGTAGTGGTTAAGTTCGGAGTGCTCCACTTCAGTGGCCCTGGTTCTCGGGCCTGGATCCCAGGCGCGGACCTACACCACTCGTCAGCCATACTGTGGTGGCGACCCACGTACAAAAATAGAGGAAGACTGGCACAGATGTTAGCTCAGGGTAAATCTTCCTCAGCAAAAAAAACAAAACTAGGCTATTGGTGGTAAACATGATGCAATCTATACAGAAACTGATATATAATAACGTACATCTGAAGTTTACACAATATTGTAGGCCATATGGCCTCAATAAAATAATTAAAAAAAAAAAAGCAACAGACCAAAAGGGTCCTCTGAGAGAGGCTGCGAACTCATGCAAAAAAGTCCATCTTCAAAGGCCATGCTACCAACTTCCATTTTTACTTATTATTGAGTGGTACTTACTAAAAACCTATTAATTGAGCACCTAAGCATTGGAAACTCTGGCGTTTGTAATCTAAAATTACCAGATAACTGGAGTTTACTGAGGACTCAAATTTGGTATTCTAAGAAGTTGGGATACCACACAGCCTTTGGCAATGTTGCCTCTCCCGTGTCCTCATATACGCAGATGGTTGGAATTCCCAGTTTCCAGGAAAGACTCTCAGTGATCAGGGCATCATCAGGATAATCCTGAGTTGGTTTTGAGTTGCTGCTCTTGTATTAAGGAATGTTTGGTTTTACTTGTTGATCCCTTTGTTTTTACATAACTGCTGCCATATTACCATTTTGATTGCTATTTTATTCCTCTGCAAATCTTTATTATCCCTAATTTTTTTTTCTCTATAAAGTAGGAATGGACACGGTAGGGCTTTTGCCCTGCCTAGGTTGATGAAAGTTAAAAAAAGTTTGAGAACCACTGGTAGATGAGTGTTAGTGACAGTCCCTCACCACTCCCTGTCTGGGGTTGAGGACAAATCAGCTTGAGGACTAGCCTTGCATCTACCTCATGTCACCATCTTCCTTTGGTCTCCTGGGTGGGGGGTCAGGAAACCTGGAAAAAGGTAACACTAGAATCAGTATTCAGGAGTTCTTATTTAAGAAACTACCTAAGTTTTAAGACTCACTTGAGATTGTTAGTGAGAATAACAGAAGGCCATGCTCCCCAAACATGATGTATGAAACAAAGTGAGTCATGGAGAAAGCAGGCCTAGGAGGTCTTGGTTTCTATCAAATTGACCCTGGGCATATTTAAATGCCAATATGCCGTGATATACTCTCCCAACAATTTTTTGTCCCTGCTAGGAATAAGAGCAAATAAATTTAAAAAGGAGCATATATCGTTTCAAAAATAATATTTCTGAGCAACATCAGTTTCAACATTGGAATGGGTTGGTGAAGGAAAGGGTGAGTTCCTCTCCTCTGGAAAGCTCTAA